GTCTAGATTATTCAACCAAACTTGCTTGAATATAAAATAATAATATAGAATAATAAATGTAAATAAAAAAAAATATAAGCAACCAATAAATAAGGAAGGGTAAATATTGGTGACTTTTATTATCTTTCTCCCTTGTTTGTTGGTTGAATTTTTTTTTTATTATTATTATTCATTTCACCTCAAAAAGGTGACAATTCCATTAAGATGCAGGGATTTACAGGGATTGAAGGGGGATGAGAAGATTGAAAATGGTGATTGATGTTGCATTTAAATTTTTGAAGATTGTAGTTATTAGGGAAGTAAGAAATCAGAAGGGTGTGAAATGCAAGAAAAGAAACTGTTAGAATAGAAGTGGCATTTGCATTTAGGTAGTTCAGCAGTAAAACAATGAGACCTAATTGCCAATCTAGTAGCATGCTTAAATTCATGCAGTCGGGGGCACCAGGAAAAAAAAAATAGTTCATCTGAGCATTTGCCATGGAAACATTTGTAGCAGAGACAGAGGGAAGTGATGTCACATCAGTGAGAAAGTGACGAGAGATAATATTTGTTATTGTTTGACACATATTTTAACAGCTTTAATATGTTTAAAGCAATGATAAAGTTCTGTACCTCTTGTATATATCTATCTATCTATCTATCTATATCTATATATATATATCTATATATATATATATATATAAGCTTAATGGCCAGAGTTGAATCAGACCAGGAAACTGTAAAAAGTGCTCAATACATGTGTCAAAATAAAATAAAAGTAAAAATAACATGTACAGCTTTTAACTTTAGAAATCAGGAGGTCAGTTGAATCTGGATTCAACTGGCCTGATGATTTTTTAAATGTGTGTATGTATATATATATATATATATATATATATATAGAGAGAGAGAGAGAGAGAGAGAGAGAGAGATTAAATATAAACTAAATAAGATATTAGCAGCTGTATATGTGTGTGATAGTGTGCATGCACAGATTAGCAAATATTTATTTAATTTATGGTGTAAACAAAACCGCGCTCAATGTAGTTAAAATGAAGTACATATTAATAAATACACATGTATCTACGTCTGTAGTGCAACTTTAATGGTTTCCCAAGTCATCAGGCACTTATGGCAAAACACTTAAATCAGTTTGGAATCATACAGTCAGATAACCTTTCATTTCCTTCAACTTATAAAATTCTATGAGCAGCTTCAGTGGCTTTGAGGCCCAGTTTATATCTCAAAATTGCCAGAACTTCAATCTATTTGCCAGTAAATGTACAGTAGACTTATATACACACACACATGGGGAGAGAGAAAGAATATATATACATATACAATAAAATCATTGCTTGTTGTTTTTTATGAACTTTGAAATGTTTTCAGATGTTTTGAAAACTTGTTGATTTGAACAACACTGTGTTCACTTCCAAACTCAAAACTTAGTGTGGTGCTCATAGAATTCAGAAATTCTTGCTGTGTGACACTGAGAAGATTAGAAATTTGCTGATCCAAAACTAACAAAATCCTGCATATTTAATGCCAAAACCCTTTGGCATAACATCAACCAACCATCTTTTATAAGCTGTGACAATCACAATATTATAATCTTACCTAACTGGGCCAAGGTGAGTTTGTTCTTTTGGCTAGAAACTGGCTACATTTAAACCTTCATTGTCTCTATACAAGGATCTGTGAATTTTCATCTTTCAAAAGCAGCTTTTCAAACATGTTCTTCCATGATTTCAAAATAATATATTCTGTTTTATTACTATTGGGATGTATCATTTATTTTTGTTCATGGGATATATATATATATATATATATATATATAAGATAAAAGTTCAAAAGACTTATCTTTGGACCAACAGGTGCACTCATCTTCAGTGTCTGATTATTAGACTGATAAGCTGTATATCTGCGAAACTTGAAATCAATTCTAAGATTTCTTTTGTTCTGAACTTTTCTATAATTTAACTCTAATTTTAATATTGAGCACTATCTTTACAAGAATCAACTCACTTTATATCATGTTAAGTTTTAGTATTTTAGGTATTTTTGTTAGACATAATAGATTTGTTTTGTGTGTGTATATATATATATATATATATATATATATTTGTTTTTATTTTTCTTTATTCATAGGGAAACTGCTTGAGAGCTCCTGTATATCTGAGCTTTTTTAAAAGTTTTTGAATACTATTAATAAGTTTCTCCTCTACAATGCATTTGAAAAACTCATAATTAACAGTTGATAGTAATTCCCATCTTGGTTTTATTTCAAGGGACAGGTCATTGTTCTTAAAAACACTTAAATCAGTTTGGAATCATACAGTCAGATATCATTTCGTTTCCTTCAACTTACTGAATTCTATGAGCAGCTTCAGTGGCTTTGAAGCCCACTTTAAATCTCAAAATTGCCTGAACTTCAGCCTATTTGCCATTAAATGTACAGTGGAATTATACTGAGAGATGTAATAATGTCATAGTGGAGTTACCAATAGGTTTTACTTTTATGAAATCAGAATAGGAGTAAAAGTATGGGAAAAAATACTTTTGATACCCCATCATTTTTTTTTATTTTCTTTTAATTCTACTCTATTCCCTCTGCTCATCAATTCCGCCATCTTGAAATGCTTTTTCAAAAAATCAAACAATATAAAAAACAATCCAATGACCATTGTGAGTACCATTTTTTTAAAAACAGAATAACTTTTCCATTTGCTTCATAAAATGCCTTATAGAAACAAGAATTGGAAAGAAAGAGTTGTCTCCCTTAGATAAATAAATCTTTTTCTCATAATAGCGTTTACGAAATTATTTGCTATTTATATCCCGATGAATAAAAATTTTTCTATGCTAAAGCAAAATGTTTATCATGACAGATTAATTTTGTCTTTTTATACACAAAATGAGATATTAGTCTTCTATAAATTCTATGAGCAATTCTTCTAGGTGGTGGTTTTACTTTTAATTATACCCCTTTAAAAAAAAGCTATAAACTTCTTAACTTCAAAAATTCAGTGCCAACCTAATTTACATATTTTTATTGTTTTCTTTCTGACGAAAGGATGTATTCACAATTAGTTTGTTTTTTTGTTTTTTTTTCATAAAATAATATTTTATTAAATAATTTAATCCATATTTTGTGTGTCTAAGCGTCTATTATTATACTTTCAATACAAGTTTAACGTCCTAAATCATAGGAATTAAATTTGAAATATAGTCTTCTGTCTACTAGTCTAACCTCTTAGTATTTTTTACATGTTAACAGTTAAATGGTTCAATAAGAGAAAAGCGAGAACTTAATTAAAAATAAAGAAAGAATAATGAATGTCATACCATCACCAGCTAAGAATAATTATGCGGCATATAAATTAAATTTGTATTTCTAATTCCCTTCCTCGATATTCCCTCCTATCCCAGCCACACCCAGTTTCTCTGTGACCTGCTTTTGATGCTTGGGGGTGGGGGGCTAAATATTCATGCCTTCCAATTCGTTTGTTTTGTCTTTTGCTGCCTTTCTTTTTTAGGTTTTCAAACTTACATCGACATATATTACCATCTCTCTCTCTCTCTCCCCCCACCCATCTTTCCTCTCTGTTTTTTCATCCTCCCCCTTTTCTTTCCTTTTCTTCTTTCCACTCTAAAATTATATTTTCCTTGGGGGACACACAGAAAATGCATAAGAATCTTTAAAGTTTTTAAAGAAGCTTTATATAGGAATATTTTTTTATTTAAAATTCATCAGTTCTAGTTATTATTACTACTACTACTACTACTACTACCACATAATGATTTGATTTTGTTTCTATCTCTTTTTATATAATAACTAAGGTATTTTATTATTACAGGAGGAATTTCAATTTTACTTTTTGCCATCTTTTGTGCTCTTTTAATAATGGTTCTAAACTTAATTCAGAGATCACTAATAAGAGGTTTTGCTAACACCGCCATCTTGCCATTTTTTTCTCTATATTGTTGTAGTTTCAAGAGTAAAATGTGAGATTTATTTATCGCTTTTTAAACTTTTTTCATACCAGGTGACGAGCCAAAGTCCACACATTATTAGCTAATATGGCTCATAGGCTAAACGAATGCCTGGGCAATGCACCTTACTTGTCATCATTAACAAATATACCCAGATAAATCCAACCATGCCTCCCCCAAATACTTTTCTTTATTTTTCTTTTTTTTTTTTGTGTCAAGTAGATGAATGTAAGCATTTCAAAGGGGTTTACATGTCCCTTTCCCCCTCTAAATTCTTTCTCACATATAAAGGTTTTGTACTTGACTGCAATTACCCCTTTTTGCTAGATCCTGTGATAATTTTCATACAGCAGCTGTGTATTGATATTTTTTTTTCCTTTCTCACAATATTTCTCATCTCTTGAACAAACTTGTTAAGACAATTGTTCAAGGGTATTATTATTATTATAGCTTACAATGGTTGTGCCAAATGATTCTCTTTTTCTTTTCTTTTTCTTAACTTCTTTCAATTTCTATATATTCTGTCTATAGCTTTACAAAATGAATACAAAACACAACAAAAAAAACAAAAAAAAAACATACATAAACACAAAGAAAGAATGACAATGTACATTTTGTGCAATTAGAATTTTTCACTCACACTGTGTTTTGGGATTTTTGCATTAAAAAAATATGAAAGGAAAAAAAAAAACACAAAATGGTTCTGAATTATAAAAACCAAAATATCCTTCCCTTTATTGTCTGTATTCCTGATTCCTGAGATTCTTATCTGAAAACGCGTGAACAAGGGCCTGAAGTGAAAAATTCTGTTCCCCTTTGGACGTGCTTGGAACAGTTGCATCCAGTTAAGGATTCTCTTGCTTTGACTTTGTGGATGCAAAAAGTTTGTTAAAAATATTAAAAAAAAAAAAAAAGAAGAAGAAATAAATGAATAAAAATAGAGAAAAAAAAAACACTTTTTAAAAAATATCTAAAAAAATAAAAAAAAAAATTTTAAAAAAATGGATAATGGTTTCAAACTGTGCTGAATGTCACCATCTGTTGAACAATACCCCCCCTCCAAACACCCCCTCCCCCAGCAAGAAAGAAAAGAAATAGGCAGAATAGACGTTTTTTCCTCTTTGGACATTCCATACCCAACTGACACTCACGCACACGGTACACCCTTTCATGTAGAGCTGGGTTCTACTTTTTTTTTTTTTTTTTTTTTCTTTCTCTCTCTCTCTCTTAAACATTTCAGCTTTTTTTGCTCCCAGTTTTCTTTTACGGTTCTGTACAACACTCACACTTCCAGCTATGGTTTGGGGCTACTACTTTCTATATTTTTTTTTTATTTTTTTTATTTTTTTTTGACTTCAACCCAAGTCGGTCCCTTTGAAAGAGACACTTCAGATATTGTTGCATGCAAGTAATTTTACACTTTTGTTAAAATGAACTTTTTTTTTTTTTCTACACAAAAGATGTAAGTTGACTTAAGTTTCACCATTTAAAAAAAAAAATCAAAAAATAACTGTTGCTATCTACACTTAAAATAAAAAAGTGCTTTTTTTTACAGTTTATATATTTAAGTCACTGAAAGGAATTCATCCTTCCCTGCTAAAATAATAGGTACTGATCATTGTTATTTGTAATCTTTTAAGAGGTTTTATCTTAATTTATTTTTGCCTTCAAGAAATCAATCAATCTTTTGTTTAGCACCAATCCCCTTCTTGAATAACTTGAAATGTACATCTCTGCAAATGGTTCTTTTTTATAACAGATGTCTTACAGAAAGTGTTTACTACTTTCATGGGACTTCTGTCATTCATCTTTTATAGAAAAAAAAAAAAAAAAAAAGAATTTATAATTAAAATGCCTTGCAAGTTGAAAGGATTTTTTTTTCTATTAGGAAAAAAAACCCACCTTATTTTTACTTCTGGTAGTTCTTTTCCTTATTAATTATTATTATTATCATCATTATTATTATTATTAATCTTTTATTATTTAAAGCCCCATACTGTTTCTGGTTTGGAATGTTGACCTTTTTTAAGAAAAATTAAAGAGAAAAAAATCCCCTGCCCTCAATAAATGAAGGAAATATTTCTTTCTAAGTAGCCTTAGTGTCAAATGGGTGACAGTTTTGTTGGTTGCCTTTGTGATAAGGTTTTTTTTTTTTTTTATACTAAAGGTTGTTGTTACATGGGGTTTATTTTTCCCAAGTTTAAAAATCTAAAAGACACAAAAAAAAAAAAAAAAAGGAAAATAAAACCCCTTTATCTACATTTCTGAAGTATGCATGTTTGTGTGAAAACAAGTCATATACAAAGTGAAGTAATGTAAATTATTTCCCTTTGAACTAGGTTTAAAATTAACAGTTGAAGATGGTGATGGGCCATCATTTTAAATTAAATACTTTTTAAACATTTTTTAATGTTGAAATATTTGAAGAGTAAAAAAAAAAAAAAAAAAAAAAAAATAAAAAAAAACTTAGCTGGTATGTAACTATTCTCCTTTTAGAATAAGGATGCATGTTTTTTTGGGGTTTTTTTTCCAAGCATTCTCTTTCTTTTTTTCTTTTTTTTCTTTTTTTTTATCTGTAAAATATCTTCCTTACAATTGTATTCTTACATTTTTTAACTTTTTACAAATTTTGTTGTAAAAAAAGAAGAAAAAACAAGAAATACACACACACACACACACACATTACAAAAACCATGATTGGAAAGGGTGGGTGGGATAAAACATTTACATGATCATCTTTTAGTATAGATGATTTTTTTTTCCTCTCTCTGACTTCATAAATGTTCATGTTTTCAATTAGCAAGGTTTTTAATGTCTCTTGAAAATTCATTTTTTATGTACTAAAAGAAAAGAAAAAGTCAATGTTAAAAATGGTTTGACCGAATATATAATTTTTTTTTTTTTTTTTTTAATCTTCATATATCTGATTCATTCAAAAATTTCTTCTCTATTTAATGTCATTTGTCCTTGGGAAATCTCCACTGATTGATTATTCTCTCTCACACACACACACACACAAACATACACTACCTAAATACAGACGTACAGCATGTGCTACTGACCAAAATTGGTACATAGTCATACTGTTATTTACTATGCAGTTGAAATACAAGTGGTGAGCACTAATTTTTGTTTCTTACTGTACAGATCCAAGCATCTTATCCAAATGTAAACTCACAAGTTAACTCCTTGACTATTTTCTTTATTGGAGAATGTTCTTTACTGGTCAGCATTTTACTGCCCTATTTTTTCTAAGTGAAGTTTTAAGATTTTTAAATTTAAAAAAAAAAAAAAATGAAATAAATAAACTCTTTTTTTTTTCCCCTTATTTAGTCACTGTTCAAATCATCTTTTTACAACTGCATCGATGTGCTTAGTACAGTGATTACGAAGTGTAGTTGATTCATTTTCAGATTGAGATGACTACTGAAAGGCTCAAAGTAAATAGAGCCAAAGTTGGAACATGCAGCATGTATTACTCTTTCATAGTAGTTGTCATTAATAATGGCTTTTATATTGGAGTAGGAATTTATATATTTTGGGTTTTACAGATTCTCTCTCTCTCTCTCTCTCTCTCTCTCTTGTACTTAATGGGATGAGAAAGACTTACCATGTTTTTGAGGCCCAGTTATTGTTTGGAACCAGAATTATTTACATCATTAACATGGGATAGATGGAAACATTAATAACTTTATATAATGAGTCTTGCTGTCTGCCATATTGTAGAAATATGAATTCTCTTATTTGTTCTAATTGACTTTAAGTTTTTTTTGTTTTTTTTTCTGCATAACTAAATTTTTGTTAAATGCTATTTTTTTAAAATTTATTTTAAATGTCTTTTGCAAATAATCTTCAAAATTTTTTGTCTATTTGTAAATGAATCACTGCCATTTGTTAAAATGTTTTGTTTCACTGAGTATCTTTTTTTATTTTGTCTGTTTGAGACCAATCAAAGATGAGTCTTTTTATTATTAGTAATTAGTATTATTTTTTATTATTAGTAATAATAATTACTATTAAAACTCAGAAAATCTGTTTCTGAAACTAGGTGCAATAAAAATAGTCTTAGCAGTATGACTCTTTTTTTTTTTAAGTTGTACTGGTAGATATAAATCAGTCACAGTTGCTCATAAAAGAAATTACAGGTATCCCATTCTTGATTAGTGCACTAAAATCTTTATCTACTAAAATTCGATTAGTGCATAAATAATACTCGATTAGTGCGATAAAACATTCTTCAGTTTAATTATAGTAATTGAAAATTGCTTTATTTATAGCTACCAATGTGCACACTACCTGCACTCATCGAGGGATTCATATATATATATATATATATATATATATATATATATATGTGTGTGTGTTTAAATGTCCTACACCTTAGGAAAATATTTATTAAACTTCTTCCTGTCTACTGTCAAAATGTGACTGCCAAATTTAAATAATTTTGCAACTGCATTGCTTATACTTTTTGCATGTGTAATCTATTATTTTTATCTATACAATGAATTTGATTGTCAAATATAAGAAAGAATTATTTTTAAATCATTAAAAGTAAATTTTCCAATGAAATCTAAAAAAAATAAAAAGTTATGAATTAGCAATCTGTTCTCACTATGTAGTAAAAGATTACATTGTTCTGATAACAGAAGACATATTGTCTCCTTTTACCATGACAATAAAATATCTTATGACTAAAAACATGACGATGAAGATTTGTGATTGATAAATATATATATAAAGATACATTGTTATAGAATAGTTTACATGCTTAATACATGAACTTTGAACTCTTCTTAAATTATCCGGACTGTATTTTTATCAGTCTGGTATGATCCCTTCTTTTGGGGCAAGAATTGGTCTTAGTTTAGCGATTTTTAGATTATCTCCCCCAAAAAGAAAGAAAAAAAAAAAAACAAACAAGAAGCATTAGGTCAGGCAGTGGCTATTTATCTGACCCACTTTGGGAGGGTGTGCAAAAAATGTAATCCTTACACGAGTGGCAAACTGTCGCAGTCCAGTCTTGTTTCATACAATGTCTTTCTGAAAGTCCATTTAAGTTTTGTAGCATGTCAATATAGGTTGCCTTTGTCACATCATTGCCAAAAAAATATGACTGTTAATAAAAAGAATATAGGCTGTGGGCAGGAATTTTGACGCAGACACACATTGTTTTAAAAGTTTCTGTGTGTGTATATATATATATATATATATATATATATATATATATACACACACACACATACACACACAAGACAATTTTCATTAGACATGTTTTGCCCATGAGCTGATGAAAAAAAAAAAATTTTATTACACAAGAATAAAATCTATGTTAGCATGACAAAATGTGATTCCTGTTAATAAATTAAATGCTGAAACAATATGGGATATTAAATTTTGAATAATCTAAAATAAATAACAAAGAAAATGGAGTTAAAATTAATTAAAATCTAATTTCTATAACGATAGTTAAACTAAAAATAAAGCATTTAGCTGCTTAACGTAATAAATGATATTTTGTTTTGCTAATGTAGATTTCGATAAAATCCTTTTTCTGATGACACCTCTTCCTTATTGAATAATTTCAAATTGTCTTAGAAATTCACCATTCCATCAGATTCTCTTCCAAATTTACTGGCACACATTATATTTATATTTTATTTTTAAGGAATTAATGGATTTTATTTTTTAATCCAACATTATTTCTAACTCCAGATGTTATAGTTTGAGTAGACATCCTGTTTTTTGGGGGTTTTTTTTTAAAAGCAAGTGTGAATTATGTTTCGCAGCTTATGTGTTCAATAGACTTAATAAAGGAAATGAGCTGTGCAGTTTCAAACCCTGTCAGAGAGGACATTTTCTTCAGTAAGTCCCTCAAATATGCAGGCTAGTACATGTAATTCATACAATTTTAAAAAAGAACACTAGTGTACTCAAACATGTGTATCCATAAGAGATAGATATATATATATATATATATATATATATATATATATATTGTTATGGTGAAACACACCTATTCTATAGTTAATAGACTCTCCCACCTAATATAAGTAGGAGTAGTAATAGAAATTACGGTCGGTCAAAGTCAGACGACAGCTAGTCGAATACAAAAGTATCAGCGACTACAACAAGATTACTCTGCATAATACTTGTTAAATTCCTAACGTTTAGTATGTCGAACCTATTTTAGAACCGACTTAGTACACATACACACTTCAAATATTAGATCAGTTGATTTCACTACCTTGGTTTCAATTGATCTCCTAATTTTTAAAGTTAAAAGCTGTACATGTTATTTTTTTATTTTTATTTTTTTCACATGTGTATTGGGCACTTTTTAATACTACTGTTTCTTGGTCTAATTCAACTCTGACCATTAACCATTTATATATATATATATATATATATATATATATATCATAGCATGAGATGAAAACGAGATAAAATTTTGAACATTTACAAAAAGTAGAAATCATTCTGAGATTTACTAATTTCAGTATTCCTATATTTCTTTCTTTTTTTTAGATTTCAACAAAATTTCATAGAACCTAAAACTTGTTTAATTTTGTACTCATAACTTAATTTTTCATTTTTTTTTTTTTTAATCTAAATTTTAATATTATTTTACTTTCAAAACTTGAGTTACCTACAGAGCTTTTTTAATTATTTTTTTTTTATAATTAACTACTTTTCAACTGTGATGGTCATTTCCACTGCTGAAGAAAATAAAATAAATTGAATCATCAGAAATTGGAAAGCTATAAGCAAATTTGTTCATAATTATCTAAATCATATCTCTTGGTTATTAAATAACCTGCCAATCAAAAATATGCGAAGACAATAGTTATAAGACCACCTTCATGAAAATGCATTGTTTTTTTGTTAATGATTGATGTTAATTTGAATCTGTATATTAAAATGTAAATTTTTCAAATGCTATTTTCATTATTTGTGGATCTTAATAAGGAAGTAAATGTCAAAATTTATTTTTTGTTCATAATATTGAGAAAAGGGATTATGAAATAAAGAAGAATTTTTATCACTGCCATTTAATATCCAGTATTTAAATTGATAATGCTGTGAGCTAATGTTAAAACTGTTCTCTTCTTTAGAATGAAAACTGTTGCTGCCAATGAGGATTGAACCTGTCATCAAAAAAGAAAATTAGCTTTATAAATTTGGAGCTCAGGGGAGTGAGTGTAAAGCATTTTTAAGTAAGCTTAAACTAGTCTCCCTATGCAGTTTGGTCAAGATTGATTTGTTGGGGGTGGGGAAAAAAAATCATTTGATTTAGTTATGTTTATGGATAAAAAGAATGATCTCTGATGATATTGCTGGAATGTCAGTTTTTATGTTTGTTTTTACTTTTGATGACTTAATTAACAAGAACTTTAAAAAATGGATTTCTTTTAATCTGACATTATTCGTTTCTTATGATAAACATTATATTTAGTGGATACATGTTTGTGTAGACGTCCCATTTTTATTTAAACAGTGAAATTAATGTCTACCAGCCTAGAGATGGATAAGCCCTACTAAAGAATATACATCTCCCAACAGTAATCAAAGCTGTATTCCTTTTTTCAATCTGGCAAAGCCTTTTTATCGCGTAGACTGCCATGTCACCATATATTGGTGACATGGCCTTTCAATTTATACCAAGTCTCCAAATACTGGTGATGGCTATATTTTCATTTTAAGTTGATTCTCCAAAATGTTGGAGACATTCTATGCACATTTCTATATAAAGCAATGTCTGTGGTTCCTCAGCAATTTTGGGAAAATGCATCTGGCGCTTGGCTACTCTTATCGTTTACTTGAATGTTTTATAAATGTATTGTGTGTATGAAAAAAAAAACAAACAAACCCCAAGGAAAAAAAGTTTATTGATTCAACCTCAATATCTATATAATAAATGTGAATGTCAGTGTGTCACACTTTTTCAACTTTTCTCTTAAAGAGCCTAGCCTAATATATCATACCATTTTGGAATCGGGCCATTTCCGTGAGCAAATTAAAAACATTCCGGGCTGGATCTGGACCCGCAATCCTGAAATTCTGGATTAAGAAAAAAAAAATCAAACAAACCACAAGAAAAAAGTTTCTTGAATCAGCCTCAATATTACTAATAAATGTAGAATTAATTTTATCACCAATATAACATATATACATAAATATAAAAGTGGACATTGATGTCAACATCCAATAGTGACAGTCTCTTTTATGCATATGCACAATTAACAGGCTCATTTACCCTATTTTATTTTGTCATTAAATTAGATTAATGGAAAGGCATGCTTGACTTAACACATTGACTGTCAACCCCGAGATTTATGTTTGGGGTGGGGGTCACAAATTTTATTTTTTTTACCTGATGATTGCATTTAAGCATGAAACGAACTGTCAGCACTGGGTGTTGACTTCAATGTCCACTTTTATATTTATGTATGCTCCCTCTCTGATATTGAGCTTTTTAACCCATAAATGCAGCAAACCTTAAAACTATATTTTTTATATATATATATATATATATATATATATATATATATATATATATATATATATATATATTTTTGGAAAGTCTGAAAAAGAATATTATGAAAGTAGATGTCACCACTAATTGGTGACATGTCTTCTGATGTAAGGAAAAACTTTGCCAGCCATTTTCTCAAAAAAAAAATTACTAGGACTGAAAAAACTTTCAATTGAGCCTTGCTTTGCTATGATCACTTTCTGCAGCCTAATGGTAAGGCACACTTATCTTCAAACGAGTTTTCATGATTGAAAAAGGAAATAGATTTTGAATCCTGTCAGGAGGTACATTATATATATTTTTTTTTTAAATTTTATTTATTTTTTTTTTTTTTTTTTTTTTTTTTTTTTTTGGTAGGACTTCTTGGTGTTTCGGCCAGTGGACATTAATTTAAATCTTCTATTGACTGAGAAATATAAGGAGAAATCTGGAATGATTTATGTTTTTATTTTGAGGTGGGATCATATGAAATGTTTTTTTTTTTTTTTTTTTAAAATAATCAGTGAAAAACTTGTTAGATAATATTTATTAAAAAAAAAATTTATTTTATTTTATTTTATTTTTAACATTATACCCCTTCAGGAAGTAGGTGATCATGGCTCTCCACACATTCCTTTTCTTTATTATCTGTGAATTACCATGAGATCTCTCTGCACGTTTGAAATATTGTGTTCACCTCCTCCTAGACTGGCTGCCATCCAAGGCTATATAACTCAGTCTACCCTACTATTTAACTCATAATTGGGGGAAGAAGAAATAGATTCCTGACTTTCCCATTTGTGCAAAAGTGAACACAACAGATCTGATCAGAATTCTGCTTTCTGAATCTATTTTCCAGCTGACAACCGTTGTGCTATCTATGCATCCTGGAATTTTTGCCTCTAAATTTTTTAAATTAGAAATATTAAATGGAAGAAGAAAAATAATAATCTTATTAAATGTTATTTAGTAAAAAAATTTTAGTTATTTAATACTTTTTTTTATATATTAGTTACTCTTAGTTATCTAATAGAAGGGGGACTTTTTCACACACACACACACACACCATGAGTTTATTAAGGATACTTCTTTATTAATTTTAACTCCCCTCCCTCCAAAGTCAAACAATAAACAGTAATTATTATAATTGGTTCAAGTTTTTACTTGCATACTTTTATAATCGGCCATGTTTTGAATTTTTTTATTCCATTGCATTGTTTTAAATAAAAGTGTCTCATTGTTTTCTTCCTCCTCCTCTTCCTCCTCCTCCTCTTCTTCTTTGTCCTCCTCCTCCTCTTCTTCTTTTGTCCTCCTCCTCCTCTTCTTCTTTGTCCTCCTCCTCCTCTTCTTCTTTGTCCTCCTCCTCCTCTTCTTCTTTGTCCTCCTCCTCCTCCTCTTCTTTGTCCTCCTCCTCCTCTTCTTCTTTGTCCTCCTCCTCCTCTTCTTCTTTGTCCTCCTCCTCCTCAAATTACCACATTCCACTCTTATTATTTTTGGTTATTAATGTTTCTTTACTTAACTTCTGAGCTTTTTAACCTTTTAAATGATTTTCCAACCACCCCAATTATTAAGACACCCCTCCATATTAGATACATAAGATTATTTTGCCTATTGTCCGGCTCTACTCTTCCCCCGACTTTTGAACAGGAATAGAGCTTTATCTCTTGTTTCTTGTATAGGATTGGGTTTCCATTTCCGTTTAAAGTTTTCCCATTCTCACAGTAGCTCCTTGCATCTTAGTGGCATTATCACATAATTTGAGGTGAATTGATTAAAAGAAAAAAAATTAAACATGGCTAACTTGATTGATCTGAGATTAAATCATTTCACTAGACCTCTTCCTACAAGTTATGTCTCGATTACTTTCATATTTGAGAAAATAAATATTTTCTGTCAGAATTTTTTAGAAAAGGTACTGCTATTATTCAGTTATTCTTTTAGGCTAACATTCTGACTTTTGTTTTTTATTGTAATATTTCAATTTAAGTCCTCAATGTACACTTTAACAATGAACATTGTGGTATAAACAAGAAAAAAAAATTTGTGTCTAAATTTTTTAAATGAATTATTATACACTGATTTACTGGACAGTACAATGGTTGAAATGTGACTAAGATGAGGACACTAGTCTGAGTAAATTGGTGTATGAAGGAGGATTCTTGTCTAAAAGAAACATTGAATGGAAATTTTTTTCATCTTTTGGAAATTCTGTCTTACTTTTACAATTGTGCTTATAACACTAAAATTTCTGCTCCATGTGCCAATTTCAGGAAATATTTTCAGACCACTTCATATAAGATGGTTGAGAAAGCATCAACCAATCACAATCTTATTCTTTACATCACAAATGTGTAAATAGTGAAATCAGAAAAAAAAATATTTGTTTACATTTATCAAAGAATCTTTATCTTATTGGAGTATAAATTAAATGCCGGTGGGTAGGGGGTGTCATTTATTTTGAAAGAAAATATATTTTTTCCTAAACCTGACAATTTCAACTTATAGGGTAAATAGGAAATTTTTCAAATTATACCAGTGAAAAAACAACTCCTCCATAATTCAATTTCTCTCTCCCAATCTCTTTTTTCTTCTCCTAGCCTCTTTCTCTCTCTTTCTCCCCACTCTCCTTCTCACTCTGTGCTTCTCTCTCCCCTAATATCTTTCCCATGCTGCACATCTCTTTCCTTTCATTATCTTTCTCATGCTACGCCTCTCTCCATGTTCCTTCTCATGCTACGCCTCTCTCCATGTTCCTTCTCATGCCACGCCTCTCTCCATGTTCCTTCTCATGCCACGCCTCTCTCCATGTTCCTTCTCATGCTACGCCCCAACTTCCTTTCTCTCTTCTTCCACTCTCTCTTGCCCACCTATCACCAACTCTCCACTTACCACATCCTTTCTCTTTTTTTGCACACTTCTCTCTCTCTCTCTCCCACTCCTCTTCTCAAACTGTGCACTTCTCTCCCCATCTTCATTATATTGCTCATCTTCTTCTTTCCTGACTTTTCTTTTTATAAAAAGATATATCATCAGTTGATCTCTCCAAGAATTGGCATCAGTCGCCATCATCCAAAATATGAGATTATTAGAAACTCATAAGTTTTAAATTTTATGGAAC